ACGACTAGTTTGGATCATATTGGAGTACTGAGAAGCTTAAATCAACAATTGGAAGTAAAATTTCATAACATGATGAAATAACAGTGCAGGGGGTGCCACGTCGATTTGGTGGGACGTGCATCACCGTTTAAATTCTGTACTCAGTCGCTGTGTTTGGTTGGATGGATAAGCCAACCAACGGAACTGCTTCACTCTGTCTAAGAAATGGTACCCGTGACAGTTATTTACAAAGGCCACAGGTCAAACATGTGTTTGCCTTCTTTAACAAAGAAGAACATTTGGGATTATTGCATGCATGCACACCCGATGACCACTCGTTTTACTTGAATCAGAGTGGATCAGGTTCCTTGTTTAGGCAACTTGCGGGACAAAAACATTTACAGACAAAGCAGATTTCAAGTGATTCAGTAAATTTCGCTCAATCATGACGCCTGGTTTAATTTCAGTAGTGGCCCAATTCTTTCCGGTGAAAAATGTAAATCACGGGCCGCGCAGTTTGGCGTGGATAAATAATTAATGCAGCATTCTTGGAATTAAGGATCGGGGGAAATTGGTGAGTATTCTAAAACAAAGCATAGTACGTGCATGATATTCATTATTTAGCCTATGGTACGTGCTAGCAAGAACTCAGCACGCATTTCAGTGGCTGGGAATTGTGATGGATGAATAGATTACGCATTTATTTTTGGAAAGTGTATCCATAAATCATTTTACAAAGAACGTTTTCCTCAAAAGATATTTATGTGACTGCTCTTCTGAATTACCTCAATCATGCCGTTTTGGAACATTTCGGTTTATTCCGTTCTGAGACCAATGCTGTTTCTGATCTACGTCAACGACCTCTTAGATGTTCTTGCAAGTCCATGTCTACCTTTTGCGGACGACTTGAAATCCTGGCGTTCCAATGCCAGGGCCCTACAAATGGATGTAGATGTTGTCAACCAGTGGTCGTTGGACTGGCATCTTCCTCTGAATGACGAAACGTGCTTCCATATGACGTTTGGAGGAGACTCAGCGAGTGCGCTTGTTATGCATGGTGAGAAAGGACCAGAAAACATCATGAGGATAGATGTTAAAAACGTTTGGGCATCTAGGTCTCCTCAAACTTGTCCTTCTTGCTGCGCCATGAAAAAACCACCCGGAAGGCATTCGCCATTTTACGGGTGTTCCGATGCACCTTCCTCCGTATTACTCGAATAGACTTCCAAAAACTCTAATTCAGACCACTCCTGGAATACGCCAACCAAGTTGTCTACTCAGGACGCACGAAAGACGTCACCCTCATTGAGCGTGTCCAGCGAGCCACCAGGAGAATGGTTGCCGGCCTCAAATCCGTGGACTACAAAATGCGTCTCGTGATGCTTCATCTCTTTCCCCTGGAGTACCGTCTCCTGCGAAAGCACTTAATTCTTACTTATGCCCTGTTTGAACAAAGCTTGGCAAACAGGTTTTTTACCGTTGACCCTGCAAACACCAGGCGGGGTCATAGTAGGAAAATTTTCAAGCTGAGCACACACATTCATCAGACAAAATCTTTTCTCTTTTCGGCTAGTAGCTGCTTGGAATGACGTTCCTCTGACGGTTGTTCACGCAACCAATTTAAAGCACTATTAGACACTTATTTATGCAAATCCTCGCGCTGGCAAGTATACTGCCCCGCGCTGAGAACATAAAGAGCTGTGCTACACCCTTTTTCCACTTGTGCGTTTTAGGTGAACGAGAACCACTGAGCGACAAGAACAGAAGCGACCCGGGAAACTTGGGCAATGGACTCGATCCTGTATATCAATCCGTCAATCCGTGATTCCGTGATTCGGGAAGGCCAATTTGAGTGACGCGTAGAATGACAAGCCTTGAATTGTGGATGCCTTAGTCGCTTCAATAAAATGCTGTACTATACGTACGAACTCCATAATAAAAATGGGGGCAAAATTCAAACATGGGGGATTTTGTCCACATTGTCTCACGAACTGGTGGAAACCCAAACACAGCCAGGAGGTGAGGCTAAATTAGTTTTGGGTAGCAACATACTTTGGCGAACAACATGCGATAACGCAAATGGTCAAAGAGCTCCAACAATACACGATTGACCGAATTTGTTAGGCGTGTCAAGGGTAAAAGTCTCATAAGAGATTATAAATGCATATCGAGTCTTTGAGGTAGACGCGGTGAATAGCAGACTCAAACAAGAATTTGTTTTGACCTGGGGAAAGGTAGTACAGACATACTGTCAGGACAGGTAAACAATTGCTTCCCACAAGAACACGGTGGATTATGGTCACTGCCTGTGATGCTTAATAATGCACGCCTATGATTAAATAAATGGAAACAACTTATTCGAAATTACCTCTCAATGGAATAATTTCAGAATGTCATATTGTGGCCTGGCGGCCTAGCCTAGGTAACATCGTGTTTAAGAAACATGCCGTGGAAAAAACTGCATCACAAAACATCCTCAGTTCGTATGACCTCCGTTACTGAAAAGTTAACATGGATAAACAAATCTTATTGATCAGAGGGCATAAATTTCCTGAATTCTTTGGCTTGCGGGACGGCCAAATGTTCTACCTACAATCCCGCTTGTTTCACAGGTGCGAGTTAAACAAATGACAAGAGAAAATGTTTTGTAATAAAATACTAGGGTTAATCGTTAATTTTTCTGAAAATCTCGTTCTTGGCCATAACTAAATTAAAGCAACAGGCGGTTACAGGATTGAGAGAATACATTTTTTCCATATGGCTGACAATAATAGTATTGCTAGCAATTCTGTAATATTAAGCAATATCCAGAGATTCTGTTGAAGCGGGGGATAGAGCATCCCACGTAACTTGATTGCCTGTGATGCATAATCCTCATTCCACCTTCGATGAGAACAGTGCTGTTGCACCCATTGCACCAACTGGCTTAGAAAGCCTCAGAACTCGTCACAACTCTGGAAATAAATGAATACACGTAAATGCTAAATCCAGAACAACCGATGCGAAAGCCGTAGTTCTAGGTTGACACTTACCGCGAAAACTGTCTCAAGCAGAAAGAACGAGCATGTACGTTCAGGAATAGCAGGTGAATCATACAAATCTCCCAGTTGACACAAACTCCCTTGCCAGAATATTGTGATTGTTGAAGGACAAGACTTAGAACCACATGGCTTCTTAACATGAACTACCTGGGTTTTCTTCTTGTGAGGAAAAGATTTGGAAGCGATTGTCATCGATGCTTCTCATGATTCTGCGGAAGGTCAAATTAAGCAGGGCTTTGCGGTTGAAGCTTAACAGAGTTCAAGAAATGTCTTCAATCAGGCCAACAAGGAATCAGCACCAAAACTGCAGAGTCACTTTGATCATCGGGCGCCTCAGATTCCTTAATGGTGTTATACTGAAGTACAAGAGTACTTATTCGTGTGCTGTCAATTTTTTTCAGGTCCAGAGAGACGCTAAACCTGACTGAATAGCTTGGCGACAAATGACCCTCTTTACCAAAAACAAGGGTTTATGTTTCCATGTGCATCTGTTTAAGTAACACGTGGGCTCAAATGTATGCCATCTCTACATCCTTTTTCATGGAATACATATGTATGTATGTGTAACACCGTTTTGTCTAATTAGGGCATGGGCGCCATTTGCTGGTCGGAAAATAACTGATAGTGTTTTAGGGCCTCAAAGTTACAAAAGGCAAAAAGGGCTAAACGGAAAAAGTCACAGATTTTCGTCAAATACCTGGTCACACCTACAGTTATTTCATGGTACATTTTTCCCACGATATTTTAGAACGTATGAGACAGGTAAAATAATGCAATGATAATTTATCACACCTTGGAATGAATGGACAATTTGTGATAGGACATATCGGATCGCAGATACGCGTTCCAATTCGAGGTGAGACATCGTCTACCATGTTACTTAACTACAAGGATGAGACAAAAGCTTATCACAGTTTCGGAGAGTGTTTACACAGCCAATAATTTTGGTTGAGCTTTCTAAAATACTCCCTCTTTACTTACTTAATTTTGTCACTGTTTACTAGTGCGCACAGACGTCTTCGCAATCAAACACATTCCTCTGCATCAAACGTCTTGTGTGTTTCCATATCTGTGTAGGAAGTTGCATTTGGCGGATTTGTTAGCTGAGCTGATTTCTCTGGCGCTTCATCATTCATTGTTTCACAATTGTTTTGGATTTTTGTTTACTGTTTGCACACGTCCTAGCGACGCCATAGTTCAAAACTTTACACGCAACCCTAAAAAATGGTAATTCAACGCCTTGCAGAGGCGGTACGAACCAAAAGAACAGCAGAACACAAGTCTCGTTAGTGTTTCTCCATTCCAAAGCGCAGGGATGCCCTCAACACCATCACATTTATGTTGCCCGTCTTCCCGGTAATCCATAAGCGATTAACCGTGTAATATATGGTCTGAAACCTGCAGCCGTTCTCCGGGCTTGGTGCGTTATGCGGATGGGATGGTAACGCACATGTGTCTCTGCGCTGGCCCCTTGTCTTGGTCAGTGGACGCAGGGATGCCCTCAACACCATCACATTTATGTTGCCCGTCTTCCCGGTAATCGAGAAGCGATTAACTGTGTGATATATGGTCTGAAACTTGCAGTTGTTCTCAGGGCTGGGCGCGTTCTGTGGATGGGATGCTAGCGCACAAGTGTCTCTGCGCTGACTCCTTTTCTTGGTGAGTGGAGTTCAATGTCTACCGCCTCAAAAAGCTGCATTTATTTAGAAACAGATTTGTCTCAGCAGACAGTGATTCTGATACTACTATACTACTTTGGATTGTTCAGACTCATTCGTCAAGCAAGACGCACCGGCAATGTAAATCTTGCGGGCGATAAAATGTCCAAGTAGGTCATCGGGCTCCTGCCATCTACACAGACATAGCCGTAAGCCCGTAAGTACATAGTCTGTCAATTAAATTACATCAACTGAGAAGATTCCGCCTCAGCGGAGACAAACCGAATACAACAGTGCTGTTTTATAGTTTTTCTTAGTTAAGAGTTACGTTCAGAAACATCGGCGATGGGTGGAGTACCAGTGGTGCCGGAGAGGTGGAGGTTATACGAACACACAATGATGCAATGCAACAGACGAACATTGCCAAAAGACGCACCGAACACCATGCGTTGTTTTCATCACTCGCGTCTGCTACCGGATCCCCGGCGTGAAATGCCACGAAACAGCAACCATTGCGACTTGTGCAATAACGAAGAACTCCATCTGCCACATATTTTGCCCGGTCGAGGAAAAACCAGGCTAGCCGAGCAGTTGTGTCATTTCAAACAAGCAAACGGCGAACAGCCACCCGAACAGGCAGGTCGCGGATGAGGCGACTATTGGAACACAACGGAGATCGCCAGACCGTTCGAACCCTGGGAAAACGATGACGGATCTTCAGCTGACCAGCTAAGCAGAGGCGTACAGCGATGTTGTGTGCGGGTGCCTAATGGGTTGTGTAGCAATACTAAGTTTTCCGGTAAATGATGGTTCCAGGCCCGACATAATTCAGCGAGAGCTGTAGGTGATAGGTTTTGGCCGTGTAAATACATTTCTGGGTAATGGAAGCTGGACGGTCTCAAGTGCTAGCCTACAACTTTGTCTATTAAGGAAGAAGGCAGCGAAGATTTCCACAATTGGTCGCACACAGCTTGACAATTGATGACATCACATTGATGAAATCATTGACATTGCGACCTTTTGTGCCGAATAGCGTAATATTAGGAAGTCTAGAGGTCACTCACCAGTTCAAGCGTCACAAAAACTTAAACAGCTTGACAATTCCTGTCCCAATTTCAACCTTAGCCGACAACTTGTACACCACAGGTTCTCATCCGTTTTTGTTGACGCGACTATCACTTGCGTAACGCGCCAGGCTTATGAACTTCAACCACAATAGGTCAAGTTGTATTCATGTTCGTGCAAGCATCAAACACGGAGGAAAACCGTCTGTTCACACTGCACACATTAAATAGGCATGCAACTCGGTCCATCACACGCACTAACGCGCGCCCAAGGAGCAGGAGGTCAGCGATTCTCCACAAGTCCACGGACAACTTTGGAATGCGTGTAGCAGCCAAACTACGGAAAAACACGTTCTCGCCGTCCGGACTCCAAGTGCTGCAAACTCTCACGGACAATAAGTTCCCTCTTTTGACTTGCTCCCAGGGCCTACATTTCCCAGCAACATAGAACTGCATTCGATGAGAAAAACTAAAGTTACAAGAGGATTTGAGACCAAGGTCTTTGATCTCTGTAAATGAGTGACAGTGTTCCCCATCAGTTGGAACAAATCAGGTGGGTCGGAACAGCCGCAGGAAGTTATATGGGACTTGGAAAAAGCCTAGGCTATGGGCACTACACTAGCGAGTCGATGGGTCTACGTAATATTTGATCTGGCGGAATCCGTTTTTAAGGAGGGAAAGGAAATATGAAAGCCATTTTCGACTCACCCCATAAAAGGGATAGTTTACCATGGGATAAGACGTGAAGCATGTCGTGGATATTTAATGAGGAAAGGATTGGGCCTTACACACTACCAAGAATGGCTGCACTGGTGATCATAAGTGGGGATGAGTGTCACCAATTTGTGATACGTTTGACCCATCAGATAAGTAGAATGTAAAACACTGAAATAGGAACCCGGCGATGTCCACAGGTATAATATTCTGCAGCAGGGATGCTTGAGGGACCTAGCCAATTGCCTTCTGGATATCGTAATCCTCTCGTTCGTTGTTCTTTTTAACTTGTAATAAAACACTTTTCCAGCCGACATTCGCTCGTCCGCCAAAAGGGGAATTAACCCTGTTGGCATCGCTCTATCTCTATTATGGTTACACGTCTCCCACGTGTTTGAAAGGACTCAGCCAACACAAACAAGTGGCTCTAATACCAATCACTAATGGCTAACGTTCAAAATCACATCTGTGGACGACAACAAAAATCGCCTGCAGCATTCAACGTTTAACACTATTTTCGAGTCACTCCAGACCAACTGAACTTTGAACTTTTCGTGAGCATGGCAAACCTTTACGCCAACTCGCAAATATATTTCGCCCGCTTCCCATTCCCCGCTGGTGCGTTTGCACATAACGCCACCCTGATACCTCTTCTGTGAGGATCAAAGATACTGTTGCCATTTAGCCCCACCTACACAAGTACTCGAAAGCTGCATTCTGATAATGAAAGCACCTAAAATGAGGTCCCGGATAGCGCCATTTTAGGTAATGTATGCCAATAAGCAATGAATTCCTCCCTCAGTACTCTTCTTATTATCCCCAGAGTTGAAACTATTCAAGGCAAATTATCCACACAGTGGATTGCACCTTTTCATCGTAAGATCGATTGTGCAACATTGGTCACCCAGGTCTGATGATGCCTCGTAACTTCATACGCTGGTCTATCCCTATGTTGCCCCATTATTTCTTAATTTCCTGTTCATCGGTTGATCAAGCTTTGACCACTTTAGACCAGAACGAAGCCTAATCTTGAATATAAAGTTCGTCTTTGGATAATGTCTTTGTATTAGGTACTCAACGAGAGTGCCACCGGGTTAGCTAAAATAATCCGACCACAATTACAAGCTCGTACGTTATGAGTGAATTCTGTCAGAAAATCGGTGTTTTGCTGGAGACATCCGGGTTCACCAGTTAGGGGACGCGCTCAAAAATGTGTAGCATAACCAGCTACTGAGCTACGATTAATTCCAAAATCACGCTGGCTACATTTTGAGGGCATTGACGACTAGTAGTTACGAATTTCCGGAAGAAACTTCCATGGTTATTATAAATAATTATACTAGCAATGAAGGTTTTTCAGTAGTAGCAGACTTTAGGGTCATTGCTGTGAGTAGATTTCTTTATTCTTGTGACTTGTGACTAGTGTGTTGAATTATTGTCAGCTAAGGAAAATGCAACGACCATAACACGTACACCTGATATTACGCTCCGGCGAGACGTGCCTCACAGCATCACTGTGGTTAGAAATCGATGGGTTTAGATGGTTTAGTGAAGACGTTGATCTAGAGTCTCGTTAATTTGGGTGAATTTCAACTCGCCCTAAATATAGCCTTCACCCAGGTTTCCGAATTTATAAATGATTCTTGGATATAACGCCAATCTTCGGTAAGGTGCTCTGAAAACTGATGGCCTTTGTTAGTTCCTCTTTGTATCACAGTGGGGAAAGGCGTGTGAGTAGAAACCCACACGTTTGATTCTCTCCCTTCTGTGCAACTGTTATGCGTACAGTGACGAGCGATGACATTCTGCAAAATACACGACCAAGGGGCGGTTTCGCCAGGCTTGTTAGAATATTCTTTCCAGTGAAGGAACCATAAGTTATGGTGAACCGTCTCTTGCCCATTTGCGTCAGGCAAGCCAGGGTGGGTTTCTATGCGAACGCGATCACGATTAGGAGAAATGAGCGTTCGTATGTAGAAGAAAGTTTTTTTGTCAACGATTATTCGGCCAGCCACCTTCTTTGTGTTTGCACCTCACGAGGCCTTCGAATGAGGTTTGAGTCTGGCTTTGAATACCCAAAATGAGATAATATACACCACCTTGATGTCTTTCTGCTTATTTAATGTACAGCAAGTATGAGGCTGTATCCACCTCGTATTTTCGATTGAGATCCAGCAAGTGTATACATGTTGTGGTCTGCAGGATTTTGGATCAATGAGCACCCTGCTGTCCTCGAGCATATAGGTGGTTGCACCTTGAAAAAAGGAAGCGATCTGACAGAAGTTTGAATAATGAATAAGTAATTAATGATAATATTAATAAATAATAAAAAGCAAATTCTAAATACTAACTACAGTATGTTGTATTGAATACCATACAAAGAATATCAAAATAACAATATTTGAGTACATATATGCTGTACATAGATGACCGGCATGTTGGCCTACGTAAAATGTGTTTTGAATAACACATTGCCAACCAGAGTTGCAAATTTCTAATTTTAACCTGACAAATTTGCTGTGCTGAACCAAAATGCTGTACTGCGTCGCAATAATGGTAATCAAGCTGAATATTTATGAAAAATTGCATAACAACTGCGATATATATCATAGTTTGTGTTACTCGATGCTTTACATCAAATCTTGCTGCTAAAATTCATCCCACAGGAGCGAAAACTGTACTGCAATAAAAAGCGGATCGCCACCAAATACGCTAGTGCAGAGCTTTCCTTGTCTGCCTACTTAGGGACAGCTGCAGCAACACGATACTGTGCTCACGTAATTTGATGAAACAGGAAACCCGCAGGTGTTGCTGAATAAAACTCAGTGCACACAACCACAAATGTAGACACCGTACGCCGACATATTTTACGTTATCTTTGACCCCAGGTTTTGTCAATAAGCTTACGCCGACAAATGCAGCTGCGCGACTGTTGACGCTCCTCCATTGCAGAACAATATTCATTAGATTTTGTAGACGTCATTAAATTTCAACCATGCGCACGCAAATTTCCACCACTCGGAAGGTAAATAAAAACGTGCAAAATATTTGCATGTTATTCTCCATTTAACTATGTTGAAATCGTGCAGGGAAACGCAGCATGGTTTGTGCGAAGGTGGAGTTCATAGTAGTGCTGCAGACGTCTTGTAACAGCACCAAGCTCACTGCTATTTCTGACTAAACAGATAGACGCACAACCTAGATTCCCTCAACCTCACATGTTGCTCGAGTCCATGTAGCAGAGACCTCCAAGTTGGCTGAATTTTCGCGTCGTGTGGGATGTCATGAATGCCAGTCAAATCTGATTATTTACGACATTTTTACTTTGTAACAGTACTTGAACCAACCTTAAGGTCATCTGTTTTCAACAACACACTTTGAAGGGTGCCGAAAATTGTACACTGTTTCCAATAAACCTTGCCAAACTGCAGTGAGATAATTCACCACCAACGCAAATAAACGCCCCTTAAATGTTGCTCCGTAATTATCTTCAACTTAGCTCAGGGCCTCCCCATGTACCTCTTCGCAGTTAAAGAGATCGGAGTGCAAACTTTACGCAGTTTAACGAATATCAACCGATCCAGTTTTCAATGCGCAGTTAGAAATTGAACAAACAAACACCGGTTGGCTCTTCTTCATTTCGACATGTGCCCGGCGGAAACGTGGCTAGCAACCAAAGAAAAATCATAATTTTCAGCCAAGATTATTTTCGGCCCCACGAAAAGCATGTTCTGGAAAATATTTCGTGAATACCCAGCATGAAGTTACGCGGATTCAACCATCGTATGCTGTTCTTCCCGCCCACCAGATCTCCCAAAAAAATTCATACCATTTCAGAAACTTTTAATTGGAATTTGGTTGGGCTAAGTTCAA